TTTTTTTTTGCCTTTTGTTTTCGTTTTCGTTTTGTTTGTGAAAAAAAAAAAGACTTTCCTTTTTTTTTTTCTCCGTGAATTCGCAAGTTTTTAGAGTCGGTCCGAAAAAACAAAACAAAAAAAGACAAAAGAAACAAACAAAAGACAAAAATGATACATCTTTTTGCAATTTTTTTGGGTCGGAACAAAATTTTCCCTAGAACATGGTCAGATGTAGGCACACCATTGTTTGTGAGAAACGTGGCGGGCGTATCTGGCCATGTTCTAGCGGGAAGTTCATTCTCATTTTGCACATTTCGAGGGTGGTGTGGCGATGCCCTTTTTTTATCTCTCTCTCTCTCTCTTTGTCTCTCGCTCTGTCTCTCTCTCTCTCTCTCTCACATGCACATTTCGAAGGTGGTGTGGCGATGCCCTCTTTTGGTCTCTCTCTCTCTCTCTGTCTCTCGCTCTGTCTCTCTCTCTCTCTCTCTCACACGCATAGACACCCACACAGATAGACACACAGATGGGACGAAGTTTGCCTCTCTGTCTGTGTGTGTGCATGTGTGTCAGAGAGAGAGATCGAGAAAGAGTGTGTGTGTGTGTGTGCGTGCGTGGGTGTGACAGAGAGTGTGTGGACAAGTTTGTGTGTGTGTGCGCGTGGGTGTGTGCCAGAGGGTGAGTGCGGTCAAGACTCTGCCATCGCCAGTGGCATGAGCCGAGACAAGGGTGCGCCGTGTAGCTATGGCGCGCATGACTCGAGAAAAAAAAAGGAAAAAAAAAGGAAAAAAAAAGGAAAAAAAAAGGAAAAAAAAGGAGGAAGCTTGCCTGTGTCTCTCGCTCCCTCGCTTCCTCCTCTTTTTCCATCTTTCTCTCTCTCTCTGTCTGCTTTCTCTCTCTCTCTCTCTCTCTCTCTCTCTCTCTCTGCGTACCAGATACTGACAGGTACGGGAGATGCAGGTACGGGAGATGCAGGTACGGGAGATGCTCTCTCTCTCTCTCTCTCTCTCTCTCTCTCTCTCTCTCTCTCTCTCTCTCTCTCTCTTCTCTTGCGTGCGCACACTCGACCCGACGGCCATCACCCCCTCCCTCTCCCCCTGTCCGACCAGTACTGCTCCCGCTCGCGCTATCCGGTTACCACCACCACTCCCGCTATTTCGCCCCACTATCCCTCTCTCTCTCTCTCTCTCTCTCTCTCTTTGTCTGTCTGTCTCTCTCTCTCTCTCTCTCTCTCTCTCTCTCTCTCTCTATCTATCTATCTATCTATCTATCTGTCTGTCTCTCGTTGTAACAGATACTGACGTGTGGAAAGGTTGCGCCTCGATGCAGGTACGGGGGACTCTCTCTCTCTCTCTCTCTCTCTCTCTCTCTCTCTCTCTCTCTCTCTCTCTCTCTCTCTCTCTCTCTCTCTCTCTCTCTCTCTCTCCATCACTTCCGCGCCTCCTTGGTTCGTTACTCCCTCTCTTCGCCATATATACTGTGCACAAGGGGGGAGCTTTCATGTTGAGGCGCTTGAGCTCGAGCAACCTCAACGCGCAGACGGGAGAGAGAGAGAGAGACCATATGAGAGAGAGAGAGAGAGAGAGAGAGAGAGAGAGAGAGAGAGAGAGAGAG